GAAAAGATGGTAGAAAATTTCTCAAGAGGAAAGACAGTGATGCTGCAGAAGCAGGTGCGTCACATCCATGAATTCGATTTGCATCTTTCATTCCGACAATTTCCTTAAAAAAAACCAGAGATTTTGGTTTTGATAAAGATTAGTCTCACATTGTCTCTGTTATGTTCTTCGTCGTTAATTTAAATGTTTTTGATCGGAATATTAAGTAAAGGATCGTGAAGGGTTTGTTTTTTTTTTCCATATTAAGAAAATAGTGTTTATCACCTGTTTGATGAATTGCTTCTGAAGAAAATAAATTTGGCTTTTAGTTTGATTTTGTTTGTGGATTCGTTTTTTGTGGATTCGTAGGACGAGCTTTGGAAGAACTCAGAAGCTCTCTATACAATGAGCTTAAAACATCTGAAGGAGCTAAAAGGCAACAACAGAGATTTTGTGGCCCTGTTGTTGCAATGTCATTCAATTTCGTTGTTGCAGTTGGAATCATCCTTGCTAATAAATTGGTCATTTAGAGCTTCTTCAATCTCTAATTCTTGTTTCTCTTTTTTGCTATGTGTAACAAAAAAAAGAAACTTTTTTGTTAAGAAACTTTTTTTGTTTTGTGGGGTTTGATTCTGCAGGTGATGGGAAGAGTTGGTTTCAATTTTCCAATCTTTCTAACATTGATTCACTATGCCGTTGCTTGGATTCTTCTAGCTTTCTTCAAGTCTCTTTCATTACTTCCAATGTCTCCTCCTTCCAAGACAACACCTTTCTCTTCTCTTTTCTCTCTTGGAGCTGTCATGGCTTTCGCTTCTGGCCTCGCCAATACCAGTCTCAAACACAACAGGTTCATAGCTCAATCCGTAAAGATTGCATCAAGATTCATAGCTCAAACTCTCAAAAGAGAGATTGTGCTCTGTTTTCTCTTGGTATCTCATGTTTCAAAGCTTTTGTTTTCTGTTTCCAGCGTTGGATTCTACCAGATGGCTAAGATCGCAGTGACACCAACGATTGTCCTTGCAGAGTTTGTTCTCTTTAAGAAAACCATTTCTTCCACAAAGGTTATTGGCTGGATATTTATCACATTTCACCAGATTAAGTAAGACTCTCATTATTACATGGTGCTTACTCTGTTTTAGAGTATGTTTTTTTCATAGGTCATGGCATTAGCGATAGTATCTCTAGGCGTTGCAATTGCGACAGTAACCGATCTAGAATTCAATTTGTTTGGCGCATTGGTTGCTGTTGCTTGGATTATCCCAAGTGCAATCAACAAAATCCTCTGGTCTAATCTTCAACAACAAGCTAATTGGACTGCCCTAGCGTAAGAACCTCTCTCTTTACTTTACTTGAGACTTAAGCAATTAGAAGTCTCTTTAAAGTAATAAATCCTTTATTGAAATGTAGATTAATGTGGAAGACGACGCCATTTACTGTCTTCTTCTTATTGGCCCTCATGCCATGGCTTGACCCACCTGGAGTTTTACTGTTCAAATGGGACTTGGGTAATTCCTCTGCAATCCTCGTATCGGCGCTTCTCGGCTTTCTTCTCCAGTGGTCTGGTGCACTCGCTCTCGGGTTAGTCTTTTGTTCTTTGCTTCGGTTTGAAGATCAGTCTTGAGTTTATATGGTTTACTTCTGCATCATTTTAGCTGTACTCATGAACAGAACATAATAACCTAGTGAACCTAAGCCGTTTCATAGTCACTACCTTAACCGGATGGGATGAGATTAAACATCAAAACCGGTGCTAAAACATCAATTCTTTTTCGGTTTATAAAATTTTGGTTAACGTTGTTGTTTCTTACAGGGCAACATCGGCAACTTCTCATGTAGTGTTAGGGCAATTCAAGACATGTGTGATCTTGCTTGGAGGTTACGTTATCTTCGGCTCCGATCCTGGCTTCATCAGCATCTGCGGCGCGGTGGCGGCTCTCGCCGGCATGTCTGTATACACGTGGCTCAATCTACCAGGGAAATCCATCGATCACAGCTCGAGCAAGCAGCTTCCGAAGCAAAACACTGCCGTTTCAAAACCTAAAGCCGAAGCTGACGACGGAGTAGGAGAGACCGGAGTAGCTGAGCCACTTCTCTCGAAGACCACAAGTGCAAATATCGTATAGCTTTTATGTTATTTAGATGCAAAGAGAAAAGAGAGTTAACCTTATCGTCAGG